CTTTGTTCTTGTCTCATATATGAAATAAGCTGTCTCATGTAAATTGTAGAGCTTTTCACGCTGCATCTTGTGGTATATTTTGTTTTTTATTACAACGTATTAAGTGATTCAAAATTGAAATACAAAATGTAACCATATAATTTGTCTCATCCATAAGTTAAGTTTTCAACAAAAATAGTTTCTATCGACATTTTATTATTATAGTACCAGATGAATAGGGATGAAATAGTACATAAAAATAGAGTTTTGTTTTCTCTATCATTTCATAAAAATAGAAAATTTCCTAAAGCCTTCTATACGACAATAAGGTACCTCCGCCACTACTTTTGGGTACCCCTAAGTAAATCGTCGAGTATCATAGAGACAATCTCTTAGAGATATGGGAGTCGATTTACTATAACATTCTTCGTTTTGATTCAGCGGCACAGTTTGTAGATCGCTTATTATGGTAGGAGACACTTCAAAATAGTCAAAATGTTGATTATGCATTACTTAGATAAGCACATGTCGTACATACTATATGACGCGAAGTGTATTCATTAGGATAACAATAAAACAAATTCAAGAGACTATTAGTCAATCTTCCTACATTAACTACAGAGTCGTATTGAATATATATGTTAGATTAAGTAGTCTTATTCTAGTAGTAATAGAAAATGGGCAAAATTCGAGGAAACGATAAATTTCTATTGTTTCCGCAAATTCTTTCTAGAGGAAGTAACTACTACTACTTTATATACTGCTGGCACACCGCTTATAATTGATGTTCTCGTTCCATATATTTTTTTTCTGCGGTTGAAACAATAATCTAGACATAATGCTTAAAATAAAACTTATTATCTCAACGTTTGATTGGATCCATACAATTCTTATTCTACTTTTACTTTGCATCTGTATGCTGTTTTTGATTTTTTTCTTTCTCCTATCCAAAAAAATAGATCTATCTAGAAGTTGATTATCATTAGCCATAGATGATTCAAACGATACAAATAAGAAAGTATTTTTGCTTATCTTTTACTAAAGACAATAAATGAAATTAAACATTAATTATTAGCTTTTCTTCCTGAGATAAACAACTTCTATTATGTGTATTGATAACAAAAAAAAAATACCATTAGCAAAGTTATTTTCAAATTCATACCGGCATTGTTCATGTCTATTATTGTTGTATGTAGATTACAGAGAAAAAATGTCATCTGATCTCTCTATTTTCACTGTTTTTTTTAATAAATTTTCAATATTTGAAATGATCATATCTTTTTTTGTATTCTATATCATATTAATATTAGTTTTTCTTTTATTTATGTCTATATAGTTTTTTTCCTTTTATTAGATGATAATAAGAAAAAAGGTGAAATTGAAATCATTTATTATTTTTATTTTGTCTGTTTATTAACGTCGACGACCAACAATTCCATGAGCATATAATGCTTTTTGAAGTTCAAGTGGAATTTTACGTTTCTTAAATGGCATTGAAGGATTTATACTACGCCGTAAACCAAAATTAGACTTTGGCGAAATATAATCCGGACGATATATTATAGACCAAAGAGCAGATGATGGTATTTTATCATCCATGGATTCATAATATAAATTATCTCGTTTGAATAAAATTTTTGGTTTATCATTATCGAATACAAATGATTGAGGTACGTAGTCATTTCTGCGATAGATATTATTAGCCGAAATTTTATGATTATTGGCAAAAATTATAAATGAAATGAATAAAATAAAAACATGTAAATTACCATTCGAGATCATGAGGAACTATAATTAGAAAAAACAAAAAAAGATATAATAATAATAAAATTTCTATAAGATTTCTGAAACAAAAAATCATTCGAAATTGCTATTGTGTAAAGTATGATCAAATTTGAAAAACATCTCATTATATAAACTGTCGATCATTCTGAAGAAGTTTACTTGTTAATAAATATTACCTGAGATAAATGAAGATTGATGTGTTTGTCAAATGCGGAAAAAAAGATTAATGACTCTAGAAATATATGAGATCAAAGAGAATATAAACAAGCTATAATCATTCAAATGGTCATGTTTTTTTTTTTCATATAAAATTTATGATCTTCCCACCAATAATTTTCCGCCTTCAACATAACATTGCATCTAATATTTGCATTTCATTTTCTTTGTTAGGTATATTATGTTTTGCGTTACCTTTCATATTATCAAATCATTTCAAGAACAAGAAAGAAAAGGAATTATTCCATGCAAACAAGAAGAAAATAGAAGTGTCCCCTTTTATCTGCTCAAGTAATTCTCTCTTCAATTGAAACATCGGAAATAAGTTTTCTACTCTATCTAACATATATATAAATATTATATTATAAATATACATACCACTGAAGTCATAGCGGTAAAAAGAAAGTTCAAATTCTGTTCTTAGTCTTTGAATATGTATTTAAAAATTAAATTTCCTTTCAATATAAAGTTTTACATCGAATAAAATAAAGAAAAATAATCTAAAAGTTATAATTACATTACTATCTATTATAGAATACACTCTATGTGTGGATGAGAGCGGTGCATATTTTCTAGAAATGCTCGATATTTTATTCATTTTATGAATAGTAACTTTTCTTTTTATTTTTTTTTCTTCTTATAGTGTGCTTGAGTGTTATTCCTTTGTTTTCTATTTCATTAAAAGAAACATGTTTCACATAAGAAATGAATGAATACAATACATTGATAGTTCACAAGTTATAGATATTGTCTCACTTATCTCTAGAGATGAACGATGTCAATAATCGAGCTGACATTATGATGATAGAACAATAGTTTCATTCCTTTCTTTCTTTTTTACAGATTGATCGATAATGAGACAAGTTTTTTACATATACATCTTGACAATCTATAGTCTAAGTGATTGGAAATAAGAAACATAAATTATAAAAACATTTATTGAAAAATATACTTAACTTACATAAATATTTATCAAGGTCGAAAAAACATAAACATATATTTATTAAGTATTATAAATTAGTTAAATTAATATTTTATTCGATTAGAACATAAGGAAATAATGTGTAGGCATAATTTTATCATCACAATAAAACAGCTTGACAATAAAAAACAAATCAGGGAATAAATCTTACCATATATGATCATTTCAAATGTACTAAAAAAAGCTTTTTGATACATTATCATTAATAATTAGTCTAATATGAGATATTTAAAATAAATTTTCTCATAATATTTTGTAATTATTATATTTGAGAGAAGTTTGCATGTTACTTGCTCGATGAAGACTTATTAAAAAAAAGAATCTATACTATTGATCAATTTGAACTAGCAAATATCCGCTCATGTCAAGAAAATTTCCTTTTTTTATGCATGCAAGCACGTCTTTTTCTATTCATTATATATACACATGGTATATAAATTTTATTTCCACCTACACCTATTTCACCCAAAATAAATGTTTTCTTTCCTATATGTATACAAATATATATTTTCACATTAGAAAATTGATCGTAATAATAGACTTTTATAAGGTGCCGGAAGTGTATAATTAAAGCACAAGTTTTTTTTCCTTTTATTTTTTATATGGTTAGATAGAGCGTGACGAGCTAATCAAAAATATGTAGGTTTTTAACTTTTAGAAATGAGTTTTTTCATTTCCTTTAAATTTCCACATTATTTGTTTTAAGTTTAGCGTGAAAAACTAAATCTAAAAAAAAATAGTTTGAAAACTTAAAGAAAATAAAAAGCTTGAAAGTTTATCGATGTTTGAATTATTGACCTATTTTTTTGTCAAACAAAAGTTGTTTATCTGAATATACTGAAAATTTTTCTCTCGTAAAAAATCATTCCAAAAAATTGAAATTAATTTTAATACAATGGTAAGATGAAATCATGAAAGATATATTTTTTTTTTGGCATATAGTTTCGTTCATATGTTATTAATAAATTTAATAAAAACTTTTTGTTCTCTAAGTATTTGAATTTTCCTTCAAGTGATTATAAACGTTTGATGTAAAAATAACTGCGTCTAATGTAGGAAAAGTTTTTAAGCAAAAAATAATTGCTTATTTCAATTTTACTTTAAGGTATAGTGGTTTTTCTGTGCGTTATTTCTTGTCTCTGAATGTTTCTCATTATGTACTATGTCAAAAATAGATTGATCGATTGATTTCAAGATTGATTATTTTATATATAAATCATATGAAATAAAATTCCATGAGAACAAACTCTTTGAAAAAAAAACAGACAACATTCTGTAAATCATTAAAAATATATGAAGACTACTGTTATACAAAACCAACAGAAACTATTACAAAATAAATCATTTACTTTTTTGAAAAATAAATATAAATTAAAGATAAAAGAAAGTTTTTTTTTTTTCCATGAGTGACAAGCAAACGAATACTCAATATAATCATAGCATATGTTAATTAGAAGTTTATAACATGAAATATTGTCATCAATTGCAAATACAATATATAGAATAAGGAAATTAAAAAAACAGCAATACGCTAATTCTTTTGTTTTTCAATTCTTGGAATTGCCATTTTCAGAATTTTACCAATTAGATATATATATATATCTGGATGATGTGCTAAACGAGAAACATTGACAAAAGTTGCTGCTATTAAATAAAATGTGTTTTAAAATTTTTATACGATTTAATTGAAAAAGAGAATGCACGAAATAAAATGGAAACTGAAGTTGCCATAGAGAGATCATAAAATAATAAAAGAATTATACATAGATAAGTAAACAAGTAAAGTTCGCCGTTGTGACTCACTTTATCCTCAACTGAATGTTCACCTGTTTCTGTATAGTATATTAATGCCAAAATATATGCAATGCGGTTGGTATAACTGCGAGTGCAAGTATGGCTATTGATGGGCGAGCCCATGTAGTTCTTCTCTTCACATATTGAACCAATCACCCTCATATCTACACAATTAAATTCATATATTGTAACACACATATCATACCCAATAAAGTTTGAGGAAAATGATTTTGACATTGATAATATCGCTGTTTTCTTGTATGCATAATTGATCTGTTGTTTGTCTGTCAATTGCTCACCAACAAATACTGATCGCTAAGATTCAAACTAACAAATTATCTAAAACAGAAGTCGAAAATAATGTATTCTGAATTTAAAATGTACACCATTAAATTATAAAATCGTTATAATACCTTTATTTTGTTAAACTATTTTTCACGCATGATCACCAGATTAACGATAAAGTTTTGGTATTTTTCAACGTTCCTTCGTACCTTCCCGTTAGACAGAAAAATAAGCGAACGACTGCACATTACGATCACGTTACGCCAAACTTCATCAAAACTGAATTACCGAACGCTTTTCTTTCATGAAACGCAATAAAAAAAAAACAGATCGTATAGGATAGCTCAAAAATAAAATTTTTTATTATACTGACTTTTTTCATCATACAATAGCTTAACATGCATAGCAAACATGATGACTTACAGAATATTGGGATAAAGAAAATAAAAACGTTGGCAACCAGAAAAGATCAAACATGGTTGTCAGAACTGCAAAGAACAAGGCTCAATCATTTAACATATCTGACTAATACAAATATTTGTCCTCTCTATCTGACATACTCGAGATTCAAGTTACAAACTTTTCAATTTGTTAGCCTCTTCAAATACGGTGAAAGATTGACTTGCAAGATCACGAGAAAAAATATGACCGTGCATATCGTTGTTATCAATAGTTGGTTCAAGCCAAGTCCAGTCAAAATTTCTACTGTCCTGCCACAATCACCAGTAGAAGAGACTTGATTATATACAGTAAAAAAAAATGTTCGAACGATCCCAAAAGACCTGTCAACTACTCAACATTATACACAATTACGATTGATCCACACACTAGTATGTTATCAAATACTGTACTTGATGCTTTCGTCTATGCTTTGAAATAATATCATGATTTGTTTCTTTCACCTGATGATATGTGAATGGTTGTGTGTTTAGCATTTGCTGCATATGTTCATAAAAATACTGAAAAACTTCGAGTACTTTTTGTCGAACATTTACGAAAGATAGAATTCATTGTGAGAGATTCTAATGGAAAACAAGAATGGGATGAATTCTTCGATTTAATGAAAATGAAAAACTCAAAGAAGAAATTGACCAAGTGATGACAGCTAATTTTTCCACTACAGATAAAGTTGAATCGATTCTATCGACTTCTTTCATTATGTATATATTCAAACCACATTTTGAACAAAACTACTCAACTCCTCCCTACACAGTTTAAGCGCATCATGGATACTGCTATATGGTGAGTTTCTGTTAAGCAGCAGGTACCATAAAGTACGTACAATAAATGAATATCGTTAATATGGACCATATAAGTAAAATTTATGTTTTAAATTGAGGATCTAGTTATATTCATTAGTTGTTATGTAGTTATAAATTGTTATGTATTTACTATATATTACAGGACTTTTAGTAATACAATTGGGTGCGCAAAGATGCGCGTTCAAACTCTTGTTGAGATATAGTGTCTCAAATATAACCTTCTGTCAAAATTTGTTGGCAATTTTTATACAGCAATTACTCATGTTGCATTACCTTTTTATGATGTCGAACTTTTTATTTTTGATGTACGGATTGCATTAATAAAATTCTCATGTCATGTCTTTACTCAGTAATAAATTTGATGGCAAATATGGCAATATAAAAAGATTTTTATAATTTTCACGTTTGTAAAAAGCACACTAAATTGCACGGCCTTTCTAACTTTCGTTCGAGACAGATAAACTTATTGGGGAAGCTAACAAAGATTGCAAAACACATTCTATGAATATCAAGAAATTTAGATTTTAAACAGAACTTCAAAAAATGTGAAAAACTCGGCAAATCATTTTAATATGTTTCAGCACATATTGTAGAACGATTTTAAACTTTGCATAACATTTATAAAAATTTTCTACAACACACCAGAGTATCATTGTTGAATCTCACGAAATACTATAAACTGACCAAAAGTATTTTTGTCATTTCGCTTTTCTGTGACAAAATTCATAGCATTAGTGAATTCATTTATATGTCACAACTAGACTTCCATCAAATCTGAACATTTGAATTTCGTGAATTTACTCAAATATTTGTTGACTCGAGTTTGGGCACATTTTTCTATCGTCATCTGTACTTTTTCAAAATATTATCTGATGCGTAAAAAAAAGTAGATCGATTATAAACGATCAGCATTATTGACAACAAAATACGGCTGTGAAATCAATCCTCATTAGAGATTATATGGCTTTCTAAAAATTTTAGATTGACATGTAAAAATTTACTATCATAAGGACTTTTCCAAGTAATTAACTACTAAAACACATAGTGTTTCTAAAGATATTTGACACATACATATATATTCATGTTTCAGTATCATCAGACAGTAGACCTTTCGTTAAAAGCCATAAGATTTTACATTTAGGTGATTCGCACGTTACGATGAATATCGAATGAAAACTATAAAATGAGATACTAGTTTGCTAACTCCTCATATTTTGTCGGCACGAGTTCAAAAGTTGAAAATAATTTATTCATGATAACCTACTTCATGCCATAGATGAATAATTAGTCCAGGGCAGATTTATATAATACATAGTTAATAGCTGTATCGTTTTTGCTAAAAAACGTTATAATTGAGCAACTACTTTTTATTATGCTAATTGGCAGTTTTCAAAAGTGCAAAACTTCATTTTATAGGAATCTCTTGAATAAAGAAGGCTGAGTAAGCGCAGATAATTAATATGAAGTGCCAACTATATCGACACAAAATATCAAGTTGATAGCTGTAATCATTGAAAGAGTTGTTCCTGACTTTTTGTTTCTTCCCAAAGTGCCCCAAATCTGTTAGACTTGAGTCAGAACTTTCCAATCGGTCTCTTGAGTCATCTACCCGTCCTCTCTCGCAATTATGGCGACCTTGGAACATCTCTGGGCTCAGCAGAAGTTTTTTTTGTTATCCTCAAATAACTTCTCGTATATCAACATGACGTAAATCGAGAAATTTCAAGCAAAAAGCCACATATAAATAAACACATTAAAGGCTTCAATCTCTGCACTGTTTTAAATTCTTATTTCAAATAACGATGAGTCTACTAGTGCCAATTGTGGGTGAGGCTCAGGCTATACGTTCCGTCGTCTAGGAATTCATTATCGAAACAGATTTATTGCGATGTTCGACTTCTGTAGGCACCCTTAACGATTAGTAATCGCTTCGTAACAAAACAGAACAATTAAAATCATATAGTAATGACATAGTTGATGATTATGTTAATGGTGTATTGCCTATTTCTGATGAATTTATCAATACATAGCAAGACAATGTCCATAGACGGTTCTGGAACAAAGTGTATGACATCAAACTAGGTTAAAATATTAGACATTGCCAAATGGAACTAGGAGAGCGTATCACCGGTTGGCTATTGCAATTGTTCGGCGTTGAAAAGAATGGTGATAGTGATCCGAGGTATATGTCTTTCAATACCATTCATGTACCAATCAAAACTGATAGACTTCAAAATAGAAGAAATAACACAATGTTACATGGTCGGTGAATTTCAAGGAACAAACTCTAACAAAAAAACGAATAAATCGTTACGAAAATCCGACAGATTCTGACTATTTTCTAATAAGAATCATGTTTTGTATTTTTTTCGCTTCTATTAATTGTCTTAATATATATTCGACAGCTTGTATTAAACCTGATAAAACCGAATAATCTATGCAATCCTTACGATGGTGCTTCGATTCAGCACTCTAACGCTAGATGCCTCAGCTGATTTCTTGATCGAGAGTGTAGTGCGATGTGTATGTGGGTATGGGTGTGTCAACAAAGATGAAAATAATATTGAAACCCACATTCACAACCCATACCCACATCCTATTTAACAGTAGGAAAAATATCGAAATAGGTAGCATGTTTGTTAGAATGCCGTATCATGCTTTGCAATAATAGTAAAGGTCCTAATTTTATAACTAATGTTGCAAGTAGTCAAACAAGCATTTATTTTCAAAGTGGTCAAGAATTAATTACTGAAATGATTCTTTATAATACCAAAGCAGCATATAGTATATTTGACGTTTCTTTGACTTTCACAACTGTCGATTTTCTGATTGACTCGACTCTTACGAATATAAATTCTGAAGTAAAAATAGTAATCGTTGACTAGGTAACAACACAATAAATGAGTGAAAGAGTATGAAGAAAAATAACTCGTTCATTGCTCATACTTGCATCAAGCTGCTTTTACCATTCTGTGACTCGATAAAAAAAATAAGTTGCATGCACTTTTCTTCTCTTCGAACGCTTAAGAAAATTTGCCTTGTATAAATGGAACCAAGACGTGTGCGTTGACGGAGAAACACTGCAAACATTCAATCGAAGGACATGCATCAGAAACAGGAGAGAGAGAGAAAAAAAAAAACAAGTATTGTGTTGACTTTTTTTCTCTTTTTTTGACAAAGTTTGTTAAAAGTGTCACATGGTTACGTATTGCTTCGGCCTTATCGACATTTCTTGTTATTGTAGCTGATTCCGTGAGTTGCCGTCTCTTTTTTGTTTATTTTATTTCCGATGTGTCCTGCTTGCTTTTGTACCAACAGTCAAAATTTTTCATGAAGATAATTTTCTTTTACAACCAAGATTGTTAGATTTAAATACTAATCATTCAGTTAGTTCAACTGAAATGCATTGCAGTCCTATTTGGGTAGTGTACATGCAAATTTTGCATACATTCTTTTAAAATTTATTTCGAAAGCTTCATTTGAATTCTATAGAACTTTATTCATTCTAACAAAACTTATCTGGAATCGATTTCTGTTAAAAAATGTCTTTCAAAATTGAGAAAATGAATTTGAACAACTGTTGACCTTCAATATTCATATTCGAATCTTCTTATTTCTAGATTTGTATTTAACTATCAATTGAGAAACATTAAAATCAATGGCCAACTCTGATAGTGAAATGGGCATAATGCTAAAAACATACGAAGATAGAGTCGTCCATGGTTCAACAATAACTTTTAATTCAATTAACTATACAGTATCTTCTAAAGGATTCGTATTGTGTTTGAAGCCGAAAAAAAAACAAATTCTCTATAATCTCGCTGGAATTTTCAAACCTGGTATGAACGCAATTCTTGGACCGACTGGCAGTGGTAAATCATCCGTACTAGATATATTAGCTGGTCGAAAAGATCGTCGAGGTTTAACAGGAGAAGTACTCATAGACGGAGAACCTCAAATGCACGATTTTAAATATCATGCCGGTTATGTCGTTCAAGATGATATGGTGAGCGGAACATTGACTGTTCGTGAGAATTTAGCTTTTTCAGCTAATGTACGTTTACCGCGGAATATCTCTTCTAAAGAAAAAATTGCTATTGTCAATCGAGTCATCAGACAATTAGGATTAGAAAAGTGTGCTGATTCAAGAGTAGGTACCGAAACTAGTCGTGGCGTGTCGGGTGGTGAACGAAAACGAACCAATATCGGTATGGAATTAGTTCTTTCACCGACTGTACTCTTCTTGGACGAGCCAACAACCGGTAAAATTATGTTTTTTGTTTTTGTTTAAGATCTTTAAGCCTAGCATTGGTTTGTATATGTTATTGTAGTTCAAAATTGCCTTTTTAATGTCTCGTAGAACACTGTATAAGTTGATATTTTCCTGAACAATTATTGTTCCGTGTGAATCTGAAGCTAGAAACTTTCTTCTGACAATTCGTATGCAAGTTGAAAAAAATTCAACGGCTTCAATTTTCTGAATTTATCTTGCTCATCAATTGCTTGCGAAAAATCTATTTTATCAAACGATAGGGCTTTTTCTTCTCTTTCTAACAGTGTGTAAGTTGTATTCTTCACACATTTGTAAATGAAATGAGACAAGAGAAAAAGAGAGTTTCTCTTTTTTCTGTCTCGTATCGATTGGTAAAATAATATTCATTTCAGAACCTATTTATCAAAAAGATATAAGGATCAACATTTTGTGCACCTTTTTATAGAAAAATTACGGATGCTTTCTAAAGGTTCTTCTCTGTTCGGTTGTGTTGTTTCGTTTATGAGCGTTATATAAGAATCAAAAGAGGAGAAAACGCTCTGTCTTTTGGTAAAACACTTTTCTTGAATAAAAACCAAGTCGATCTAGATGTATTTCGAGAGTCCGAGCGCGGGGAGGGGAGAATCATGTCTTCTCAGGGTTATTGAGTAAATATCAGTCAATAAAATCGTGGTTTTGACTACAACAAGAAGATTGTAAATTTTTGAAATGCTAGTATAAATCTAAGAAGACAGATGAGAGAATAATAGTAATAGTTTTATGATTTAACGATCATTTTGCGCAACTATAAGGAGAAATCCAGGCTAAATTTTTAGACAAACATAAAACTTGCCCGGGGAAAAAAATTGAAATACATTTACATCGATAAAATTTTGTATGCTGGGTGCGGGTCGTCTTTTCACCTGCACAACTACACTCTAGCTCGCATCGCGAGGAAATTCCAAAGTGACTGATTAAATTTGTGAGCTTATCCCTAATTTTCACTTTATTCAGAAATAGATTATCAAGCTTATATTTAAATTTGTTTAGGTCTCGATTCATCAACGGCCAACAGTGTAATTGAATGTCTTGATGAACTTTCAAAAAAAGGACGTAAGTTATTTATGACGACATTTCATTGCGAACCTTATTCTCATTTCAAGATACAATCATATTTTCAATTCATCAACCTCGCTATTCTATATTCAAACTATTCGCCAATCTTTTTCTAATTGCTGCTGGACATTGTATCTATCATGGCCCAGCTAGTGATGTTCTTTCATTCTTTACTTCGGCCGGTTTCACTTGTGAAGAACATGATAATCCAGCCGACTTTATTCTAGACATATGTCAGGGTATACGATGGACATCGCAGGCAATAATTGGAAATGAAATTGAGGGTGAAGGTCAGAAAAAAGATAAAATTGCTCGACATTTACATGATATCTATATTCAATCGCCAACATATTCTTCCATAAATCAACAAATAGTGAATGCAAGTATTGCATCGAACGAAGAAAAGACTGCACAGCCTAAATCAGTATCACGATCGGCTCTCATCAAAATGTTATATGTATCTCAACGTACTCTACGTAAATCATTTCGAAATCCAACTTTGATGATCATGCAAACAATAGTTCCTATATGTCTGGCCATATTTATCGGTTTTCTCTATTTTAATACGAATCGTACATTAGAGAATGGAATCAAAAATCGTTTTGGAGCTATTTTTTTCATTGTTTCCAATCAAGTCTTTTTGAATTTATCAGCACTTGAATTATTTATCAAAGATCGTACGCTTTTTATACACGAAAATGCAAGTGGTTACTATAGTACATTAATCTATTTCATTTCAAAACTACTTTGTGATATTCTTCCATTACGATCTATTCCCTCTGTTCTTTTCTCACTTATTGCCTATTTCATGATTCAATTTCAACGAACTGTTACCAAGTTTTTAATTTTTCTATTAACAATATTTATGACAGCTATTTGTTCAGCTTCGATATGTTTTTTCATTTCGGCTAGTCTAGAATCATTCGGTATGATGTCCATTATAATTATTTTTCTTCGGTCGTTAATAGTTCTATAATTTTAGGTCTGGCTAATTTGGTTACAGCAGCATATTGCGTTGCAATGCTTGTTTTTACCGGTTATCTCCTTGACGTTACAACTACGATCGAATTTCTGGCGTGGATAAAATGGGTGAGTATCTTTCGATATGCATCAAACGCAATTACTGTCAATGAATTTACTGATTTGAAACTTTGCCAAACGAACAACACCAATATTTGTTTGATTAATGGCGAAGATATTCTCAAAGATCAAAAAATTGATTATTCAACAACGTGGGATTTATGGGCAAATTTTGTAGCATTAGGTGTTATGACATTTGTCTATTTTGCTTTGACTTATGTTCAATTACTGCGTATACAAAAGACGAAATAATCGATGAATATTAATTATAAAATATTTTACTTTCGATTCTATTGACAGTTAGAATAAATTCGACACATGATTAGAGAAGTTATTTGTGCGAATCTTATGCATGTCTTCGATGATTTTGGAACACATATTCAGGAAACGTTTGATATATTATATGCTCACATTTTCAATTTGTAGGTTAATCTTTTTTGATATTTATCATTAAAATAAAATGAATTTAGCTTGAATATGTGAACGTAAATTTTGAGCCGAAGAAAGATAAATTATCAAATACAATAATCCAGCGCTAAGATTATCTTCTTGGAGATTCACTCAACGACTTCTCAAAAGACTCATACAATTGCATAGAAAGTTCTGAACCAAATCTAAAGGATGATATAGATAGCCTAGGGGGAAACGGCGGATTTTTGGGATTCCGAATTCCTAAAAATCCAGCGAAAATCCCAGGAGTACAATGGAAATCCTGGAAGTACAATGGGAATCCCGGGAGTACAATGGGAATCCTGGGAGTGCGATGATAATTCCAAAAGCCTACTAGGAACATACATAGAAGACAACAAATATATAAATCTGTGTCACACAAAGCAAGGTATATTTTCATTTGCTTAGTGCTTTGAACTTAATTTCATACAGAAAAACGCGTTAATATGTGGAAAACATCAACTAGATAGATCCTAGATCAAGGTGTAGAAGTATTGTCGCAGTATGTAAAAGAAACATTGAACAACAGATGCTTTTCCTTGTACGGTTAGTAATTTACTTGAACTTTGATAGATTAAAAAAAGTAAAACGAAAATTCATATGAAAGAAGAGTTACAAGAGTTATATTCTTCAGGATGGTGAATATCAAACATCTTCGATGAATAGAAAGTGAGCACTGTATGATTTTATTCTCCGGGTATAATCTTATAGAAGAGCAGTAATCTCTCAGGGTTTATTCAACTATGACAGAATCGTTTCTCTAGTCGCTTTTACCATCTTCATAGCCTACGATTCGGGAAGCTGACTGTGCAATGAATATACGTGAAACAACAACAACCTATTCCCACAAGCCGAACCTTTCAGGCCGTAGTTTGAAAGGTATCGGTATCTGTTTTAAGCGAGTACGCCATAATTGATTCACCAAAGTAGAGAAAAAATAGTTTTCTTAAAAAGTTATATAATACAGAGCTTTTCTATGTGAGTTCAGCAATAGAACTGAACAATGTTCAACTCTGAAGTAGCAAAGCAACAAGATATTAGTATTGACATATATATTATCTCAATACAAGACACAAATCAAGCCCAAGGGGGAACAAGTGTAATTTTGTACTTCAGAAGTACAGAAGTACATAGAAGTACATCGAAGTACCAAGAAATACGAGGAAGTACGAAGAAGTATCGAGAAGTACGAAGAATTAGACAGAAGTACTTGCAGCTACAATTAAATCTATAAGTACATTAACGTGCTTATAAGTTCGTGCATATTTATTTGTCAAGAAAAACCAAATTTGAAGAATAAAACAGAAGAGATTGTTATTAAATCTGTGACTTCTTTGAATACTCGAGAGCGCCAATCATTAGAGAAAAGCATATTTCTATTAGTTAATAAACAATTAGTCAATTGTTTAAATATTTTTTTTGATGATCATTAAGTATCACCTTCCAGCAAGAATCTTGTGGACAGAGTTTTATTTCATCGCACAGAAGATGTGTCAAATTAGGGAGCAAGCTTTTCAAGGAATTGAACCCTAATTTTATTAGCCTCAGAATCAGTATTGAACTCTGATAAGTTTTCACGAGTTTATTTTGTATTTTATGACAAGTCAATTTTTCACATCTGAGGTCCATCAGGCATCGATATAAATTTTTTGCTATTCAAATAGAAGCCTTTAGACACCAATACAGCTAAGTATGATAGTTGTAAATATGACATTTTTTTGTTAGTAAGACAATAAGAAAGACGTGAACCATTCTCTAAAAGTCTCAAAAGAAATAGTTTTTGCCGTGAAAATACACTAAAATCCGATTTAGATCCAGCGAAGATAGGTTCATTTGATGTAGAATGCTCTCCTCTATCATAATCCATAAAACATCTTAGACATTCAAATCCTTGTCTATCGATATATGTCAAAAACAGCTGCAATTCGGTGAATTTCTTGCAAATAATGATTTTTACAGTCTTCTGCAGTTACAGTTTCTACGTGTGCATCAGCGAGGTTTTTTAACTGAGTATCTGATTCGCTGTGCTCTTTCTGATGACACCATTTCCAACTTGAAAATCAATGTTTAGGGGGTGGGTGTGGGTGTGTGTGAGGGTGTAGCTATAGAGAAACTCTTTTCTTCACCGACATCCATACTCCACACCCACACCCCACACCCTCGATCACGTAATAAAGTCCATTTTTTCATACGGGCACGGTGCGATTCTATTCTCCAGCGAACTTTTGTAATTCAGCGGGATCTGTTTACTTGTTCAATAGTATGCTGCTTTTGTTCTTTAATTAAAAACTCAGGCATTTTTGGTTCATAACCTATTTCAATAAATCTTTCAATAACGTTGTGAAATCCGCAATCGACAATCATTTTACCACCTTTCTCGCACCATTTCATGAGAGTATCACATGTATTTGTAAGACTTCTTGCTGTGGAGACATCATTCATTGTACCCAAAAATGGGTTTATTGTATCAAGTATATAGCCCATTTGGCAACATAAGAGACATGAATTTAATTAGATGACGACGTCTAGAATAGAGACTTGAAATGTCGAAATCGATGCATAAGAAAAGCTTACTTTTGTCCTGAATAAGTTTTTCGATTGATTAAGTGTGAACTACTTTTACCCATAAATAGATAAGCACCATCCCAAAGTATGGTTACATTATTTTCAAAAAAATTCAATAGAGAAGCTTGTATTTTGTTTCTTGGCATCTTCTCTTGTTAAGTGTTGAATGCCTAAATGGCGAGGTACAAAGTTTTTGATTAAACATTGACGANATTGAGATTTATTAGCACGTCGATAGCGAAACCCATCCAGCAAAAGCTGATCCTTGTTTCTAGAAGATTTTACAATTGACATTATACAACAATTATATAGCACGAGAATTAATAATGAAGATTAAATGAATTTCTACAAAATAACTGTTTGGAACACTTGTTCGTCTCCGTAAAGATGATTGTCTTAATCACAGAGGCAAAAAACAGCGAATCACCAAGGCGACAAATGGCGCATTCTGATATGGACTTTTTCATTTCAGTAATCGATGAAGGCTCAATTGTCGGGAGCTCAACTGTCGGTGTACCGAGGTCGATGGTTATTCAAAAGAATAGCTTTATATCTGATATATGTGCATTCAGTCCCTCAACATTATAAGCCAACAATGAAAGATTTTCAGGAGAATATGTTGGGCGTTGCTTTCTTCAACTTTCACATAGACATGAGACAGAAATATGTGAATTCCATGAGGTTCTAATAAAAGATTTTAGAACAAACAAAGGTTTACATGTCGGTGAATAGTGAAATATTTTAGTGTTCATTTAAAAGATACAAGTTCAATATCTTGACGAAGTAGTTCATTAGTTTTTTCAATCAGTAAAGCAGTTGATCGTTGATGCTCTATAATTAGATCATTTCGATCATTGAGCATGGTAAAACCTTACTCAATAGTAAGTTGAAGAGCATTATATTCTTTTTTAAATTTATATTCTTGGTATTTTTAATTATTTTTTCCGTACACATATGAACTACATTAAGTAAATCGGTAATAATTGAAACTAATTCATTTACAATAATATATATTTTTTGTAATGCAATTGTTTTTTTGGTTGTTTTATAGTACTATTAGATTTGACATGGTACCACGTTTCACTTTATAACTATCATGTTTATTCAATAATTCCATTTTTCGACTATCAAATTCAAATTTTTATTTTTCCTAATTATTTTTTATTAAATTTGTCTGTTGTAACATATCATCATGCATATTTAATTTCTGCTCATTTTGTTGTGTCATCAACATCGCTTGTTGAAATGTTGGTCATTCCTTTGAATGTGATGTATTTATTGGCAGTGATGAAAAGAAATGGTTTGTTCATAGATTACTAATAGTATTTTTACAACCATCTCTTAAGTTCACATGAACAAATAATTTCACGTTATGTGGTAATAATTTAGATTTTTTCTTAATTCATCAGTAAGTTCTCTTTCGTATTTAGCAATAACCGGATATCGATAATTTGTGCCTAAGTGATCACCTTCACAATGATGGCATTTGATTACATATTGTAGATGGTCATCCTGTAATTTATTTAAACCATACCGACGGCATCTACCAAAAGTGTCTGTAGTTTTTTTTATATGTCCTGGATTATTACAACGAGTGCATATAAGAAGCTGTGGTGGAGCTAAGAATTCTACAATTTCAATTTAACAGCCACTCCATAGTAAAACACCACTGCTTAATACCGTTCCAACTTCCTCATTGGATGTTATATAAATTCCAATATGTCTAGATTTATTTGTTATTGAACTTTCCATTTCCTGTATTAAGAATTTAGATTTTCAAACCTTCGTCATAGCTTCTACGTTGTATGCCTTCAAATAATATCATTTTTGGTACAAACTTTAATATGATAGAATGTTGAGAAGGCAAATAAGCAGGTGCTGCCGAACTAATTGATTTATCTAATAATTTTGATCGATCATGAGAAACATTCCATCGATAAATAAATAATTGAATTTCACTCGTGAAACACACTAATGCGTCATATTTATCTATGTACTACGTATCGAAACGAAAGGATTAATTATATAACTTATGTTATTTATAAAAATTATCTTTAATTTGTGAGAAAAGTTATTTTGCTAAATTTGTTCCTTCTAGATGATTTTTAAGGGTATGGGTATGGATTGGATGCAATGAATATTAACATCCACATCCAACTCTTACCTTAGTCAACGTTTACTAACGCGTTTTGTCAGTACGGACAACGATAGAATATACATGGTCGAATATTCACTCA